ACCGTGTGGTGCGCGTCGGGGTGGGGCTCGCGTGCGCGTGTGTTTGTTGTGTAGTGGGTAGTGGGTTGTCGGACCCTGCGACCCCGTCACCCCATTGCACGGCGGANGCCAGATTGCAACTTTTTGCTCCTCGAGACAAGTTTCAAAACTTATTGCGCAACTTTTTGCTCCCATACTGGGTGTACATTTGGAATGTTGCAAGAAAAGTTGCAGAACTGCAACTTTTCTTGCAACATTTATGATGAGCCATAATAACCGGTCTAACAAGACCAGGATTTATTTAGTGAGAAAAAAACTTTCTCTGCCGGGACTCGAACCCATGACCTCGTCCTCAGCAGGCTACGAGACTACCCACTAGACCACCGGGGCGACCGGTATTGTGTAAGTTCGATGGTGGAAGTGTCACAAGGTTGATTAGTGCTATGCGAGAGCCAGCAGCAGCAAACAATTTTTTCGTGATTTTGCTTTTTGGAAAAATCTAAAAGGTAAAGGCTCTCCAGCCCCTGTAGTAGGCGATCGCCGAAACAACAAAAATAATGGAAAATTGACACAAACAAGTGGGTATACCCACCCATTTCTCGGACAAAAGTGGGTACTCGGAAATACAGCGCCCGCACTCCCCAAATCCCCCACCCTGAACCCAGACATCATCGATCGAGTCGACACGTGACACTCAACGGTTGGGAGATGTGCCAGAACTCGAGGAGGTGGCACGGGCAACGAAAGGCCTCAAGAACTGGAAGGCACCCGGCCATGACTCCCTCCCTGCCGAGTTGCTCAAGATCGATGACGACGAACCCTTCGTCCTGGGACACCTCCATACCATCCTCGTCAAGGTGTGGAACAGAGGAGATATTCCGCGAGAGTGGAAGGATGCAACCATCAAGGTGCTGTACAAGAAGGGTGACCGGTCCAATTGTCACAACTACAGGGGGATTTCGCTACTATCTCACGTAGGCAAGGTCCCCATCAAGATCATCACCAACCGTCTAACCGCCTTCTTCTGCGAAGCCAACAACATCCTCCCGAAGGAACAGTGCGGATTTCGACCCGGGCGATCCACCGTCGACATGCTGTTCGTCCGTCGTGCGCCGCCTCCAGGAGCTGGGGCGGAGAAAGAAAATACCGCTCTACATGTGCTTCGTCGACTTGAACAAGGCGTATGATTCGGTGGACCGAGAGATGCTATGGAAGGTGCTGGCCAGGGCCGGGATTCCCGCGAAGCTGATCGAAGTCATCCGCCAATTCCACGATG